GGACAGAAAGGGAAGTTGCAAGGGGTGGAAGGGGGGCAGATACATGAAATAGAGGTGGTACAGTGTATTGTGGTAGGCTAGCTAAGTGCAGGAATCCGTAGGAATAAGAAGGAGCAACAGTAGCAGCTAATCCTGAGTTGAAGCCGAGAAAGCTCTGTAGTCGAACACAGAGTTACAAGTGAGACATCGTGCTCATGCGATGACAAGCACACCACAGAGGTGATTTATGATGCTTTCATCCACATATTTGAATAATTTCAAGTGACCTTCTGGCGGTGTCCAAAGAAAGCGATAGAAGGTGTTAAAAAAGCTTGAAAGGTCACTTTGTCAACTAGTTTGCCTGCAGGGGCCTTGTGAGAATGGCTGTGATAAATCCTTTTCCCCATCCTATGATTTTTCCGATAATTACTTTAGCCTCCACAGCTTTCTGCGTTGCATTATTAAAGTGTTGCACATTTATTTTTTCGTTTTGCCTTGCTTTAGAAGTTTCTTAATCATATAATCGATATTGTTACTCCTGAATATGGCTGTGTGGCAGAGAGGTCAGCAACCAACCAATTAAGCGAGGCCACCCCACAGGCGAGTGAGTGGATAGGCGAGGAAGGTGCGAAGTAATTAGCCGTGGAACTAAATAGGCTCACCCGTTTCACTCTATTATGTTCGGAAACTGACATTTGGGTCGAACGACATGCCTTGGAACAACTAACTAAACCTTGCCCTTATCGTTAGAAATAGCCTCACACCTCGAGTCGACTGGTCTCACCTAGGCGGCACCCACTATGACGAAAACCCAGTGAATGTTTAGGTTTCGTTGGGAGGTGATGGTGCCTCAACCCTCTATCAGCATCAAATGCGTCGTGACTGATCCTTCGTTCACACCAGCCCATGATTGCTGGGATCGATAGATAACTTCTGCTGGTGATTGATAGACAGTCAATGCTTGTGATGGATAGATAACCATGTAACCCCAAGATTTCACGCTTCCTATGTTTTATAACCGCACTTTTCTTGCCTTGACGACTGGAACGACACCTAAACAAAGGTATGCATATTGTGCTGGATTATAGTTGCGCCCGGATACTCCCATGCGAGGGACGTTATTAAAGCGTCCAGATAGGAGATTTTCTGGGGCCGTTTCTGAAGACCCGTCACGACTTCTTCATATGTAGGTGTTCGGCTTGTAACCTTTGGGTAACTCCACAATCTGTAGGTGAAACCGGAATACGTAGGTGGTTGGGGTGACTTAACGGGTTGTGTCCTAACGACATTTCACGTGAGTGAGACTACTACCTCTCAACCAAACGGTGAACGGATGGGGCGGGACAACTAGCTATTTGGAGGCGCAGTGGGTCGATAAGGAATCATGCACATACTCCTGGTCGCCATCTATCTTTACCTTCAACTTGCAGTGGTCCTAATATTACCACCGGCTCGTCTTGAGGTTCTATTCCCCTTCCGGAGATGACCCATCTGTGTGGGTGAAACAGCAGTGTATGTAGCTTCACCACACCAGCTGTATCTACTCAAATCGTAAATTTCTTCGGTTGAATGGTTGGTAGCTGTGTAACACAATATGGCAGCCGCGCCCATTATTCTTTCAAGAAATTGAAAACGACCAGAATCGCTCTTGAAAGAAATTATAAGGCACCAATGCAGCTGCTCCTCTATCCCGCTCCTCTTGAGCTACACGTATCCTCAGCATTTTCCTATTTTCAATGCAAGGATATCTCCAATTCTGAGATCAATCTAGATCAATCAACATCTCGATCAATCTAGTTTCATCCCAGTCGTTATTTACTTCATTTACTGGTGTTACATTGAAGTCTCCCAATAAAGTCACCGACCCAGCCATTGTCGAGTATGTTGGGTAAAATCTTGAAAAAGGTCGTAAATATACTCCTAGCTGGAGCCCTACCTGAGAGACATACCGAACCTTCGAAGCACTGGAAAATGCTCTCATCGTCATTATTCAGCTTCCTGATTGTGCATCGAAAGTTCGCAGTGGACCTCAATTTTCGGGAATGTAGAGAGAGGATTTAATGCTGAAATTCGGTGGAATTTCGAAGTGCCTTTTGCTTTACTTTTCACCATGGGATTAGCTACTTGATGATCGTCTTCGAGCAGCTTTACTTTAGCGCGGCTGTGAATATTTTTCGGGCCAGCCACAAGAATGCAGAGGTTGTCTGCATAACCAACACAACCTATTTGGATACGTGCTCAATTATCCTTCACATGCATTTATATATATTTACTAGTTCCTCAGCTTGTTATAACAAATCTTGCTATATCGCTTCCTTCCTTTACGACCACTCGTTATGACCGCACTCGTTACGGATTTTTGAGTTGAACAAAAAGAGCTGGCACCTGTTGTAGTTGCTGCGTTATATCTTCCATGATTTACTACTTCATTCCTTCACTGAAGTATTACACAAATTTGAGAAATCTAGGAGAAACGAAACGGGGCATGGGTCAGCACGTGCCACCTTAGCGGGAAGTCGCTGCCACAGGGTGGCCTCTTTAGTCGGGCTACGATCTCATTATCGTTCAATGTTAAGATGAAGAGTATTGGCAAAGTCAACGATGAAGGGTCCTGGCACGCCACGCCCTGGGAAGGCTACGACATAGTTTTCATGCTTCGGCAGTGATGGCATGTGCCAATCCATTACCCACAACTGGGGAATCATGATGGGATGAAAATGTGGAATCGATCGATATGCATTGATGCTACTATATTTTTCAATACTATTTAACTCGAACATTACCTCATCTCGCGATCCGTGTCAAGTGCACTCTATCGTTATCCGAAAATTCTTGTTTTTGTCAATGTGTATGTTCCAAAAGTTGGATACAGTCAGTTTTGCGTACGGACTGGAAAGAACATATACGTAACTCATCTCGCTCATCCAAATGTCTCAAGGATACCGTCCTCATAGAAGTAAGTAAGTTCATCCATCCAACAGTTTGTTCCATTCGCACTGCTCTTCCGACTATGTATTTGAGGATTCCGCTTTTTTCTCGAAGTATCGGCCCCCGCCGCCTGCGCCACTTGCCACTACACCAGTGACGGTTCATATGCGGTATCGATATCCGCCTAGGCCAACCAAGCCTTCCATCTATCCGGGGTCGGTTAATTGGTACCAGACTTGTCTGGGGGATAAAACACTGACTCGTACATCGGCTGGCTACGTCATTCATTGCATAGGCCACATACGCATTCATTACGCTACTACGATTTTGAATGGAAGCTGAATGCTGGGCGCATCCTTCAGACGGGATTGATTAACGCCTCAAAACTTTACTTATCCTCCATAGGCTATCAATGACTCTAGGAATGACGTGAAGTAGACTGACTACAATGAGTCTAGTTGAGTCTTCGGTGATTTTTCAATCGTGCTTGGTTAGAAATTTTATTCGTGAGATATTTCTCATAGAGAGAAGACCTGAGATGGTTGACCAAAAGGGGAGAATTTCTCTTCAAATGAAGTTGAAAATCAAAATTATGAAGTTGGAAAAGGATAGAGTAAATTATACAGTGCGTTTCATAATTATAAGGTCACCCTCAAATTTTGCACTTTCAGAAAAAGCAATCATCAAGGATTTTTTCTAGCATCATGAACGAATTTCCCAGCACGAATAACTGA